CTTGCTTGTTCCCATACAATGGTGAAATTAAGTTCTCTGCATTTAACCCAGCACACCTGAGATACAGCCAGGTGGATCAGTGGGCAGCTATGTAAGCACCTGGGGAGCAATTAGGGATTAGGTGTCTTGCTCAGAAACACCACGACATGTGGAAATTGCTGGGAGTCGAACCGCAATTTTCTGGTTCCAAGTTGGCTGACCTACTGCTACCCCATCTTGGACATAAGTGCATGCAACAAAAATACAAAAACAAGGTGACAAAAGTGAAAAAGAACTACATCTACAGCAGCATGGCCCTGTTAGCAGAGTGGTCCTGTTAGCAGCATGGTCCTGTTAGCACCATGGTATCGTTAGCAGCATGGTCCTGTTAGCAGAGTGGTCCTGTTAGCAGCATGGTCCTGTTAGCACCATGGTACCGTTAGCAGAGTGGTCCTGTTAGCAGCATGGTACTGTTAGCACCATGGTACCGTTAGCAGCATGGTCCTGTTAGCAGCATGGTCCTGTTAGCAGCATGGTCCTGTTAGCAGCATGATACCGTTAGCAGCATGATACGGTTAGCAGCAAGCACCACGGTACCATTAGCAGCATGGTCCTGTTAGTGCCATGGTACTGTTAGCAGCATGGTCCTGTTAGCACCATGGTACCATTAACAGCATGGTCCTGTTAGCAGCATGGTCCTGTTAGCAGCATGATACCGTTAGCAGCATGATACCGTTAGCAGCATGATACCGTTAGCAGCAAGCAGCATGGTCCTGTTAGCAGCATGATACTTTTAGCAGCATGATACCGTTAGCACTATGGTCCTGTTAGCAGCATGGTCCTGTTAGCAACATGGTCCTGTTAGCACCATGGTACCGTTAGCACCATGGTACCTTTAGCAGCATGGTCCTGTTAGCAGCATGATACTTTTAGCAGAATGATACCGTTAGCACTATGGTCCTGTTAGCAATATGGTCCTGTTAGCAGCATGGTCCTGTTAGCAATATGGTCCTGTTAGCAGCATGATGATAATAACGACTGCGGAAACGGATGATGACTGCCCTCCAGAACTGGGTCCGGCAGACAGAACATCCTATGTTTTCTCAGCTGAACTGAACTCTTCCGTAGAGTTCAGTCCGTGCAGGCAGATGGAGGATCGTGGAGACGGCCGCCATGACAGGCCAGAGCCTGAGCCCGAGGCTGGAAGGAGGCCTGGAACTGAACCGCAACAGTAGGACGGCAGGATGCCAAAGTAGCGACACACAAAACTCCAAAAGTGCGTGGCAGTCATACCTGTAGCCTGGGTAGTGTAGATGCAAAAAAAAGTTTAAACAATTCAACAGGAACAAAAAAAGAGCGAGTTGAAGTGGAGCTCCCATCAGTGCTGCCATACTGTGGTGCATGTGACGAAGGGACGGGCGTCCAACCTGCACCGGGTACGAGCTCAACTTTGTGCCGAGGACGCAAACACAGCTCATGCTTTGTTTGCAGGAACTGAATAGTCCTTAAAAGTAAGAAACCCTGGAAACTCATACTCCAACACAACTCTCCATAAGCCTTCTCCGGCTCCAAAGAGGTTTCAGATCCTCAGCAACTCTGCAAGTGTGAGGATCTGATCCATTGTTGCAAAACGGTAAAAGAAACGCCGCTTCTCTTGAATCTGACCATCAGAAACCAGTGGAAGCCTTCAGCTTTAACAAAAGTTATGGGAAAAATCATCTTAAAATGACCTGTTACTATCCTGTGTGAAATTTACTTTCATGAATGAATAGCCCAAGATGCTCATCAATAAGTCCGTCGGGGGGTCGGCGTCTACATTTGCTGTGACACCGTTCGCCTCTCGTTGAATAAAGTGCCGCTTGAATAATGAAGGTCACACACCTCCAGGCAACAGAGGAAATAAACCATCGCTCCTGTTGACACTTTTAGAAACGAGCAGAATCACGTCTTAATACGCTGCATTGTGAGATCATAATGAAAGCAATACAATAAAAAACGTATTGTAGCTGGTTTAGTTAGTTTGCTACATTGACTTCTATATATAAAAAAAAATTAAAGGAAATAACATCCTGCATAGCAAAGAATAAAATGCATGTCGGACAAAATCTATTTAAATTACCTCCAGCTGACCAATTAAAAAAAACTATTACTCACCATCAGAAAAGGCATTATGAACTTTTTTTTATTTATTTTTTATTCAACCAGCCTGGCAGGCTGCGTACCAACTGCAATCACTAGAACAACTCTTTTGTTTATTTATTTATTTATTGCAATACTCGAGAGACAATCTAAAAGTCCACACTCCTTTTGGTTTGCAGGAACAAACCTGGTGTATTCAGCTGTACTGTTGTGCTACTCGCTAATGTGTTAAACTGCAAATAAAAACTGCACAAAAAGAAAGTGCCCCGGTCCTAACGATGAGCTCAGAGTGAAATTACCCACAACATTTTATCTGTAAACAACTTGTTTGTTGTTGTTCTGGACTCAGGTCTCGGGGGCAGCAGCTTGAGCAGGGAGGTCCAGACATCTCGTTCCACAGACACCTCTCAAGGCGTTCCCAGGCCAGCTGAGAGACGCAGTGACTCCACTCCCGGATCTTGTCTTTTCGGTCTCAACCCAAAGTTTGTGACCAAAGGTGAGCGTAGGAACGTAGACCGAGCTTCTCCTTGCAGCTCAGCTCCCTCTTCACCACAGCGGACCGGCACGGCATGCACAATACTGCTGAAGCTGCACTGATCTGTCCGTCGATAACTCCTCGACTAGAGGCAGCGCCTCACTCCCAGCCCAGAGAGAGCAGTCGGTTCTTTTCCAACAGAGGACCATTTTATAATTTTATCACTACAACAAACATCAGCACAGAAAAGTTAAAAACTTTATCACAATAACACGTTTTTTATATACAACTTTAACAACCTCATGTTTGTTCGTAACAACACGTTTATCGTTTCATCAAAATGGTATTCACGTCTTCTAAATATTTCAGTTACTGACCTTTATTTTTTGTATTTTTAGAGTAAAGAGGCGCGACTTTAATGTCTGCGTCACCCCACAGGTTGAAAAGTTTATGTCCTCGCAGCGAAGAGGAAGCGTCAGTTGACAGAGAAAGTGTGACCTTGGTCAACAGGAAACTGTTCAACACTTCGCCTGAGGGCACGGACACATCTGCTCGTGCATGAAAATCCCATGAAGGGCCTTTTTATGTGGAAATGTGGAAAAGAGCGCACATCTTTTAACTTGCAAATGAGAAAAATATCAGTTGGCTTCAAGGGCAGAATATGAATTAAATCCTCTGTTGCCAGATTTTACCTTTAAGGTGAACAAGGTTGTTTTTTTGTTTTTTGTTTTAACAACAAGAGTCTAATTAACACTTTTCATGAATAATGTGCCGTTTCCTGCTGTGAAGTATCTCACGAGGAAATAAAACAGCCCTCTAGTTTTATTTTTTTAATAAAATGTTTAAAAAGTCTCTGCTTCTAAAAAAAAAAAAAACACGTGTGCTGAAAAAGCCATGCGTTATTAAAATGCAATTTGCCCTGAAGGAATGCATATCGCCCGCTGCCTTTGGTGCCAGAGTCAAAGATAATCTGATGTTGGTCAAGACTTTCAGCTACGACCACAACAAATTTTAGCACAAGATCCACAAAACACGCTGAGTTATAGCCAATTATGTGTTTTGTAAGCGAAGTTGGCTGTGGCAACCATCTTGAATTGTGTCGGCTTCAAAAGTTGTACAGCCGCAGATGTTCCTCTGATAAATACTGAATAAAACGTTCTTTAAAATCTGTCCAGCAGTTCAGGAGAATAATAATCTACAAGATATCCTCTGTGACCGTCGCTCTTTCAGTGTCTGTCGGACACTCCAGCAACTACCTGATAACACTGTTGCTGAGATTTTACTTGAATTTACTTTCAAGGTTTGACAAAAATAATTTAAACGTAATTATTTCTGATCTAAAACTCTAGCATCAAAGGCGGTGGGTGATATGCATTCCTTCGAGGAATGCTCAGCTTTTGATTTTGTCAGCATAATATCCTTGGACACACAAGCTAGAGCTGGTCAGTTACTGACCCGCCTGGGTTATTGATCCGAATCATCAAACTGAATCAGGACTCACGAGTCCGAGGTCTCAATTAACCAGGATCCTTCTTGTCTTCTGGCAGACTGACGCTCAGCCTACGAGTTAGCGAGCTTGTCGAAAAAACAATTGAATCTTATAAGCGCTGCTGACTCAGCTGATTTGAATCTTTGGTTTTGTCCTGATTCAAGCTGAATAATCCAGGTAGAAAAATCCAACAAGGTTAAATCAGGTCCTCTGAACAGATTAACAAGAACCCGTCCACTTAATCTTGTTAGATCTTTGGTTTTGGTTGAAGATTCAATGGAAAACGCTGCAAACTCAGACGAGTCGAATCACTGATTCATGTCAAAAACTCACTGGACATTTGTGTTCAAAAAACAAAACAAACAAACAAAAAGTAATAAAAAGACTTTGTACAAAAAAACTAATCGGAAAATCAACACGCGTAAATGGGTGGCACACACATGTTTACACAAGTTTCACGTACACTTAACAAAAGTTAACATTTTTCTTAACTAACATTTATGTTGCATTTTATATTTTTGTTCTATGTTTGGCATGCTGTAAACATCTTTGAATAATTCATCATGTCCACCGCAATAATTTTATTTTTGGTGGTGACTCAAGAGAAATGGATCACTTTAGTAAGTCAGATAAATCCGAATCCATACGCTGAATGAGCCTGCAGCTACACACTACATTTCCCGGCGTGCACCGCTGTGGCCCCGCCTCCTGCATACCTCCGCTGCGCTGTGGGACCCTGCTGAGCGCAGAAAGTTTCAGAGGAATGGGAAAGTTGTAGAGGAACGCTGCGTCTCAGGCAGGACCCAGACAGGATCTAACGACCCAGGGCGGACACAACAGCATCCAGGGATTGTTTTTAGGATTGACCCCCCTCCTGCACCTGGATCCGGACCGGCCGAGGCTCGTTCTCCAGAGACAATGTGTCCCTCCGCGCAGCCTCGCACCTTAGCGAGGCTCGCCGTGATTTTCCTGCTCTCCCTGAGGCCGGAGCGGGGCTCTGGGTGCCCCTCTCCCTGCTCCTGTTCTGGGGGGCTCGTGGACTGCAGTCGACTGAAAAGGAGCCGAATTCCAGACGTGGTCCCGGAGTGGACGGTCCGACTGTGAGTCCACTCAGGGAGCCTTTGTGTACCTGGAAAACTCCAGCGCAAACTTAATTTGTTGTTTTTGACGGAGAGTTTGGTTCAGGTTCTCGTATGTGGATTAATGAGGCGGTTTTTACTCAAATAACTGATGAGTGTTTAATTAGAACAGATCGTTTAATTGGGGGTGATCATGTTTTGTCCTGCACATGTCAACAGTTGTTGTTCTAGGCACATTTGGAGTTTCTGGTGAAAACAGTTTGTTGAGACACTTTCACCTGCAGTGATTGTTGTGTTTTAAAGTTGGGAACGGGTTTAGGTTTTTCCAGGCCTGAAACAGGGCATTGAAAAACATTGTTTCCCCAATTTTTATTCCTGATTTTATGAAAAACAAAAGGGTCTAACGGTGGTGTGCTTTTTTTTCTTGTAAAATATGAGCTAAAAGTAGTTTGCAAAAGTTTCAAATCAGCCTTAAAAACAACTAAAAATATTGTGTTTTCTGCTAAAATGCAGAATAAACGCTGACTAACAAAAAGTTATAAATAGGTAAATGTTAGATAAAGGTAGCTAAAGATCAACTAGAAGCTAAAAGTTGAAAAAGCCTTGATATAAGTTCAAGGAGTAAAAGACTAGTGTTGATGTTAAAGCTGAAAAAAGATGGCTGAAGTATCAAAAGGATAGCTAGAACTATTGAAAGGTTTGCAAAAGCATTAAAAACTAGTTAAGGCTATGTAAAAGTTAAAAGTAGGTAAAGCTAGCTAAAAGAGAAAAGTGTGTAAATGGTAAAGGTAGCAAAAGGCTGCTTAAAGTATCAATAGACTACTTTAAGCTAAAAGTAGGTAAAGACTAGCTAAAAGATTTTATTTTTTCTTCGGCTGCACCTTTTGTGCAGAGAACTAAGTTGCACGAAGACTTGGTTATTATTTTTACGCCGGATGTCCTTCCTGACTCAACCACAGACCACCGAGCTCCCACAGCTCTCTGTGTGGAGCAGAGAGCTGCATCTGGGGCGCCCACAGGAGCAGATGGTGGGAGTTAAGAGCCTTGCTCAAGGGCCCAGAGTGGGGCAAATAAGGGTGGAGAGAGGTGTGGGTGTTTCACCTATCCCACCCACATTTTGATGATGTCGTAACGTGAGTCGATCCGATCACAGGCCCATCTTCTCTAACCTCTGCACCACCGTTCCCCAAAGGCTAGCTAAAAGATAAAAGTATCTAAACGCTAAAGGTAGCAAAAGGCTGCTTAAAGTATCAATAGACTACTATAAGCTAAAGTTATGTAAAGACAAGCTGAAAGACAAAAGTATAACGAAGCTATATGTCTTAAAGTCTTAGCTTAAAGAAGCTATAGGCTACTTAGAAGCTAAAAGTAGCAATTGGTTAGCTAAAGGCATCAAAACTCTGCATAGAAGTACCAAAAGGCTCCCTAAAGGCTAAAAGTAGACAAAGATTAGCTAAAAGCATCAAAAGGCTACCAAGACGTAGCAAAATAATCCCTATAAGCTAAAAGTAGGTAAAGGCTAGTAAGAGAGAAAATGATCAAAAAGATAGCTAAAAGCTAAATGCATGAAAGAGCTAGCTTAGCTTCTCGGCTGAGAAGTGAAACTTCTTCTGTTACAAATAAAGTCCAGTTGTTTTTGTCTTGAACTTTTTCTGAGCTGGCTTAAAGTACAAATGGGCTACCTAGAAGCTAAAAGTAGCATCCGGTTAGCTAAAATCATCAAAAGGATACAAGTATCAAAAAGTTACGTACAAGCTAAAAGCAATTTAAAGTTAGCTAAAAGTAAAACGTTTAAAAAAAAGCTAGCTTATGGTAAATAAGCGGTAGCCAAAATTAGCAACTGGTTTGTAAAAGCTAAAGCTATAACAATGATGGGTAAAAGTAGCATAAAGCTAGCTAAAAAAGCTTGCTAAAATTAGCAGAATGGTAGCTAAAATCCAAAGTAGCATAAGGACACAAAACCAGAGCCAGCAGCTGAAGAAGACTTAAAAAATGTTTTTACATTTACAGTGAGAAATAAAGTTCAACTCTTTAGAAATGATAGAAGTTACAAACACTGAAAGTCACAGCTCTTCTCTCCTGAACGAGCTGAACGTTTTCATTCGGGAATGGCTACAATAACACTAAACATGCCGAATCAGTTAGATTACAAAGAAGAACAGAAAAACAAGACAACGGTGAGAATTTACTAAATGAAGTATAATTCAAGCTGTTTACGACAACCGTGACTTGTGATTGCTCCGCAGGACACACGTGAGAAATGCTAATTATTTCTGATCATTGCCAGATGTTGCAGCTGTTGAGAGATAAGTTACCTCAGCTCTAAATCAAACTTCTTTTTTTATGGATCAGGATTATTTTTAATTGAAGAATAGATTAGCACCAAAAACAGGCAACACGTTATCATTTTGCATCTGGTGCCATAAATCGGCTGTAAAGGATTTAAAAACTGGGACGTTGTGAGTGTTGAGCAGTAAAGAAACTGCTCCTCAGGTTTCTGAATGCATGTTCACTCCAGGACCTTTAAAATGAAGACACAACTCTTTAAAGTTTGTGTGCAGACCCACAAGAACACACAACTTAAAGCCCCGTTCTGCTCTGGTTTAACGTTTTTCTTGATGAATGTTTGGTCCGACGCGTTTGGCTTGGAGGACGTGATATTTACCGTCTGCAGGACTTGATTTTGCGCCTGGCTGAAGCTGCTGAATTCAGTTTTCGTCTGAAATGTGCTGGCTCTGGAAACTTGTAGCTGCCAGGGAAAACAGACTGAGCCTCCTAACCAAATCCCGGTCTTCCAAAAAAAAGAACAAAATTCCACACGAGGGGGAAAATTCTTTGCGTGTTAATTTACGAGTGGCTCCTCAGCACATCTTAAACTGCCCGAGCCTTTTGTTTTCCAGCACCCCGTTATTTCTGCTGAGTTAGCGACACCGGAGCCAGCAAGTGGTACCGATTACGGAGGAGTTCGGAGGATTAGTTCGGAGCAAACTCCCAAAAACAAAAGGAGGGGATGAAGAATCTGCTTTTAGCCGTAGCTGGTGATCAGACAAGCCGTTAAAGAGTTTATTAACATTTCCTTTTCCCAGCAAAAACATAGAAAATACACTTTTGATTAAATTCAGAAACATTATTCACGTAAATCCATCTTTTAGAAGATGTTAAACTAGATCTTTGTGTATTTAGTTAACTGAATTTAGCAAAATGTATTAAAAATTATTGTAGTTGTATTATTGCTTAATAAAAAACTAGCCTTTCTGGGAAGAACACATAAAAAAAAATCCATTCAACCTTTTATTTATACAGGTTAGTCTCATTGAGTCATGAGGACTCATTTACGTAAGAGACCTCTTTCAGACAAAACCACAGATAAGATACAGACATAAATAAACAGTCATGAAATGCATATGAAATTAAAAGTACTGTATTTTTCGGCCTATAAGTCACAGGTTTTTTTTTTCAAAATTTACAAGCCTGGTGACTTATGCACCGAAGTGATGAATTTATGTTTTTTTCCCATATTTATAAACCAATTTTTGGCTGAGATATGACCGTTTTCATTAATTCTGACATTGAAAATATTGAACACTTAACATTTTCAGCTGCTAGATGGCAGTCAAGTAGTATGGCATGCCGTTGTGTCATATAATAGGTAAAAGTGGCTATTAATGAATGACACAATCGGCTTGTCCGTAGCCTGACACCTTCGTCCAGCTCTGGGATCATGCCTGGAGCAATCGTCAACTCGGCTTCATTTTGCTGTGCCGCCCCGGTGAAATGCAGCTGATTTGACCATTGAAGTGCATTTATTAAGGAAAAGTTCAACTGAGACACACCTTTATTATAAAGTCGAGCAAACAAATAATTGTTTTTAAGTGTAAATCTTGTTAAATTCTTGTTAAAATCCTCCCATGCACGCTCCCGCCATTTGGCAGCCAATTGATTTTTGGCACAACACCGGCCCACATTTCCGGGTCGCCAGCGGTGACGCGTAATAGATGTGACGTATACGGTGAAACGACGTATTTATGGATTTTTCCACTTTATTAGACGTATTTGGACTGATGTTACTTATAGGGCGGTGCGATGTGTCCGGCATAAAATACAGTAAATAAAAGTAATGTTATAAAACAAAATAAAATAAAGCTACATCATGAAACGAGGTGAAATACTAAAAACAGGAACATGTCTGCATTGATTTTTGCATTGAACTTAACAGTTGTTTAAAGTCCCTTAAAGAGGTCAAGGTTGAAAGCTTCAGGTCTTTTCGTAAGGTGGTCCAGGAGCAGAGTAAGAGAAGGCCCTTTTGCTGAGTTCAGACCACAGTGAGGGAACACTGCATGAGGTCCTGAGAGCGCACGCTGTAGCTGCACTCACGCAGAGACATGTAGGAGGAGATGTATGAAGGCAGCAGACCAAGAAGTGATTTAAAGATGAAAATGTACCAGCCAGAGAGTCTGTGTGAAGTTAATGATGTCCAGTTAACCAGTGAATACTGGGTGCAGTGGTGGGTACGGTAGTTGCAGCCAGTTATGAATCTTAGCGCACCATGGTGGACATCATCCAACATCTGCAGGGTTCTTGTAGGAGCGTTGATGTAAATAATGGCACCGTGGTCAATGGAGGGAAGGAAAGTAGCAGCTGCAAGGCGTTTTCTATCATTCAGAGTTAAGCAAGAACTATTTCTGAAAAATAACCCCAATTTTAATTTCAGTCTCTTTATCAAGTTTTCAACATGAAAGATGTGCATCGACCAATATTCCCAAGTGTTTGTAACCATTCACAAACTCAATAGGAACACCAGTCGTAGATAAGATCGAAGGAAGGACTGTGTACCAACTTCCTGTTTGAAAACATCATCCCTTTGGTTTTGTCAGCGTTTAGCACCAGTTTGAGATGGAACTAATCTGACTGGATGATGTCGAATGCAGATTGTAGAAGCTGGAAAACCTTAACAACTGTTTTATCTCGCAATTAACAACTGTATCATCGGCATAGAAATGCAATGATGCGTCAGCCTTAAACACTTAAATCCCTAAGTCCTTTGGCAGTTTTGGTCACTTAGTACCTAAACTTTGTGGATACTAAAATGAGAGGCTTGACATGGGTCTAATCGTACCCAAATGTACATTTTTCTGAATAGAATTTGTTTCAGATTAAAGGAAAAATGTGGTTACAAATGTTTTGTTACAAATCTGTCTCCATTATTGATCCAAATGTTCAATAAATGAGACATAATTAGGTACGCAATGGCTACCACCAGGGTAAGAAATATGGATACAAGAATGAAGTCACTGGTTTAGCTTCTTCTTTATATTTATTAGCTTTTCAAGTTGGTTGAAGGTAATTAATTAGTTTTTTCACCACTTTGTACGTGTGCTGTTTTGGTGACTTTCCATCCAGAGACTATCTCAGGTACAAACATGAGCCACTTTGTCCCCACCTTGACAGCCATTATTTTAAAGCAATCTGTGCTGTAATCGATTCATCTTGTCAGAACTCGGTTAAGATTAGGGCTAAAGAGACGGAATGAGTGAATAGATAAACTGATATGAGATGTTATGGTAAAGCACCAAGAATACGATCTGAAGCCTTGAAAACGTGTCTGTTGTTCCACTTACTGAGGGACGTTGTTTTGACCTTTAGATGAGAAACATTTCTGATTTTGTGTGATGAGTATTGACAGCTCTTGTAGCGTATCCTGTCCATTCACTTTTCAGTGTCTGATAAGGAAGTGGTGTATTTTCAGCAGAGCAGCAGGTTGCAGCTTGTACGCTGCACCGTGTTATCTTGTTCCACTCAGAGCCTGCTTTGTGATGGAAATGGAAGTGTAGGGCCTACTCAAAGTTTATCTTGGGAGTATGATAGGACACCTTTCTCATATGACCCCGAGTGCAGAAGATACAACAACTCAGCCGCACACTTGAAGAGAAAAAGAAGAGTTTTGGCAAGGCAAGAAAAACTCTGGTTGATGAGTTTGCGAAGAAAAACGGGCCAGAAAATCTTAGACGAATGAAAGTGGTCTCGCTCGTCTTTCCTGGCATTGTGAATACATTACTAGTTAGGTTCTCCCCCTCCTCCTAGAGCTCCTTGATGGATTCCAGATGAGGGAGGTAAGGAGGAGGAGGAGGGGAAGTGTTAAAAAAAACGTGTCTGGCACCGCAACGTCGATCATGCACAACAGCGTCAATAACTCCGCCGCTTTTATGGCGCACGAGACTCTGCTTGCCAGACCTCTTGAGCTGGTTTTCAGGCTCATTTTCAAAAACAGGCGAACATAAAGAGTCCTTACCCCAGAGAGCAGCAGCCGAGGCTGCGCCAGACAGACCCAGGACAAGGCTCTGCCGAGTTGAGCCAAGATTCAATGGGGCTAAGACAAAAACAGAACTGACGGAGCAACACTCCAGTGTAAAACAGACAACAAGAAGCATGTGCTCATGTGCAAACGCTTTCAAACGGCACAGATATTAAGACGTTTCTAAAAGTGTGCAAAACTCCGGAGGAGTTCTGGTTGCTGGAGGTTTTTGAGGTTGTACAAACCAGCAATTATGATGGAAAAGACAACTTTTTATATGACTAGGTTCGGTTTAAAGTTTTGTAATTGCTGAAGTCAGAATAGAAACATGTTTGATACCAGTCCAGGCACCGGAAACCGAAACAGTGTAGTTTAAGTTTTGTGGACTTCTCTTATTGTTGTCTTTTGTTGTTGCTCCTCTTCCGTTTCTAAACCTTGTTTGGGGTTCAATGTGAGCCAGTCTGGGATGAGTGTAAGCGCTTGTACTTTCACCAGCTTTATACCTTAAAAAGAAAAGGGTTTAAGGCGTCAAATGTTTACTGTAACTTCAGCGGACAGTACGCCAGTAATAAATCTTGTTTTAACTACTGTACATCCTAAAACATTCCTGTTACCCACGCAGTGTAATTTTTCTCATTTGCTTCAGGTTGTCACCGCTGATACGTAATAAAACTACGTTTTTGTATGTTATGGTCCTGCAACTGGAAGCTGGGGTATTTAAAATGGTATTTTTCCTTTCTTTCACAGGAACTTGAGCCATAACAAATTGCAGGAGCTTGATAGGAATCTGCTTTCCAAACTACAAAATCTAAGTGAACTGTAAGTATGCTTGCTGTTCTCGTTGTTTTCTCAACTAAAACTTAACATTTATTTTTGTATCACTTGCGACTGATTATTCTTTTATCTGTTTCTCAACATAAAAAGAAACCTGAATTACAACGAAATGAAGGAAATACCAGATTTGGGTTCCTACGCTTCAAACATCACAACACTCTTTCTGTGAGTAAAGCTTTGTTGTTGTTGTTCTTATTTATTCTTGTCCAGCTGTAATATCAGCTTGCTCTGGAGAATGAGACCTTGTCAAAACAAAAAGTTTTCCCAGATTTATCTTGTTTTGTTCTTTCTAAAAAATATCCTGATGAATATGGAACGGTTTCTAGAAATGTTTTCATCCACATGAAAACGCCAAAAACATTGTAATAACTATGCCAGGCCTGTATGTGGCGCTGTAATGATGCCACAAATACTGGAAACGAGTTGTGGAACTTGCACATAAAGCTCGCACGCTAGGTACGAACTGTAAACGCGTCAAGAAGAAGAAGGACGCAAGTACGTAATCTGACAGTTGATGTTACATTTGAAGTAATGGAGTTGTAGATAAGTTTAAGGGTTATGAAATTGTAACCTTATCTACTTCAAGGTAGTCAAGGATCTTGATAGTAACCCATGTCACACTGTAGGATCCAAGATTTATTATGACTTTTTGATGCAGGAGAATCAGATGTTTCAAAGATCCATTAGAGATATTTCAGGTCTCGCTTGTAAATGAGTCCCCGAGGCTCAATGGGATTAACATGTATAAAGAAAGGTTGAATGAAAATATACCACTTTGACAGTAAAAGGAACATTGGTGTTCACCCTCTCACTATTAGCTCCATACTGTATATTCAGGCACTAAATAGAGGAGGAGGAGAATGGGGAAAAAGAGACAGCTGCGGGTGTGCTTTTGGTTGGGAAAAGATGTTGGAATGTCAGTCAGGGCAAGACTTTCCCAGAAAATCTCTTGACACTGCTTGATGTTCGCCGTAGGTCGTCTTTGGTCGCAAGAGAGCTGAACTGGCTGTTGGTGAGCCTGTCACAAGGAATGACCACAAACCACTGATTCAAGCTCATGACCAAAAGTATTTTACTCTTTTAAAGACGAAAGATTTTGTGTAACATAAAAAAAAATACACAGTTTTCCCAGACAGGGAAGCCCGCCCCAAATGGGTCAAGTGTTCGACAACAAATGTCATCAATGGAAATGAAATAACTTTTTCGGTGGATGTTGCTGCTATTTTTTTGCTTGGAGGTAGTGATGTAATGTTGGAAAGATGATTTGTCACGTTACAAGCAATAGGTTCATTTAGTTTCTTGAACTAAATGAACTCATGTCACGACTTAATCCACCCAGTCGAGGTAGTGCTTTGTTTCACTCTCGTTGGAAAAAAAAACCCAATAAGAAATCTATCGTCCCCTGCAGACTTCGAGTCAGTGATTCTCTGGAATCTTGTTTTGCAAGACGTGCTTTCAGACTAACACCAAATATTAGTGTGAAACCTCAACAATTTTTATTTGGTCTGTGGCATATCTCTGAAAACTACCCAGCGTGAAGTTACTGTGGAAGAATGTGCCCCGACTCCCGGCCAGATGAGGCGTATTCCTCATCAAGCCCCGACACGACAGCCAGCTGCAGCCGCAGGGTGCTCAGTCCTCAGCCTGTCAATCAACAATTTGTTTGCAGCTTTAGGAAAGGAGCGTCACCTCCAGCAATAATTTTCTTATTAGTGGAGAAACATGAAACGGATAGGCTTTATCTTTTGATGCTCCTCCACCTGTGAGAGTGGATTTTCTTCCCTTTTTTAGGGAGGGTTCTAATTGTCTTGTTGAACTCTTGGGCTTGCTTGTGTTTTTATTCTGTGGTTCACAGATCTTAGTATACCTTCGATCAATGGTTACACCGAAGCTGAACTTGGAATATTGCTCCAAACTAAGCTACAAGCTATGGTTATTTTGGTGCAAAAGCAAGGGTCAAAACAGAAAAACTGAGTAGAACTTTATTCCAGAAAACGGCAAAGTAGTACCGTCCACTTTACCTTGAACCTTTGAGGTAGAGCTTCATGGTGGTGGGGACCACTGAACATTTCTGTTTAGTTAAGGATCCCTCAGCATTCTTAACAAATATATGTGTGTAATCAAAGTTTTGTCATGGCAGCCTTATTTTTTACAATTTATGTTTTGTTACACATTTCCTCAAAGTTTCTGGTGATTTAAGTTGGCGCGTAACCACCATGAATATATCAGAGATTAATGTTTCAGGGTTGTAAATCACCACATTATTTTCTTAAGCTAATAGCTTCAAGCTAGTAAGTTAGTTTATTAGGTTCATCCATTCATTTTTTTTAAATCTGGTAGAGTTGTGGAGATAACAAGTCTGGGAGGGAAACCCACATATCCCTCTCCCCAGTGACACTCTCGGTTCCTCCTGGGAGACCAAAGGTGTTTCCAGGCCAGAGAAGATACATAAACCCCAGGGCGTTCTGGATCTTATGGCCTCATGCCAATAAGATGAGATGAGATAAAAAAGTTCTTTGACAAATGGTAAATGGACTGTACTTGCATAGCACCTTTCTGTCTTATCTAGCTACTCAAAGCGCTTTACACTACCATCTGTGCCCTCATTTACCCATTCATATCATACAGCACTCTACTAGATCTCTACAAAGAATAATCAGAGCTTTAGATCACATTCATACACCAACACATGGGAGGCAATGAGGGGTTCAGTGTCTTGCCCAGGGACACTTCTGAAAGTGACTGCTTGTGGAATCAAACCCACAACTATCACATTGGAGGATGACTGCTCTATCCACTCAGCCACAGCTGCCCCCCACAACAAACAGCAAAATAAGCCAAATACGTCCATGGGGAGACATTTAGGATGCATCCTCATCAACGGTCCGAAACACTTCAGCCAACACTTTTTGATGCAGAGGAGCAGAGGCTCTGCATCAAACTACTCCTGGTTGATGGAGCTCCTCGTTCAATCTTCAAAGGCACGTTCACAAAACAGTTCCTCAAAATGACTAAGTATCAGTACCAGTCCATCTTTGAGTTGCAGGCCATGTGCACATAGATATGAGCTTTCAGAAATAATGTGACCCGTAAAGAACAACAACAGGCGCTTTGAATGTGTGACAGACGTCTCCTTCAAACAATTTTCAAAACAGAACAGATGAACTCAGTTTAGCAATCCTTTTTGCGGTTACTCATTTTTAACTAAAAACAATGTTGCTGTGCGTCATCATGGTTCTTTTCTGTAATAAATCTGTTTATTGTTGCTGTTTTGAGGCAGCTGTGGCTGAGTGGTTAGAGCAGTCGTTCTCCAATAGGAGAGTTGGGGGTTCGATTCTACCAACAGTCGCATGTTGAAGTGTCCCTGGGCAAGAGACTGAACCCCTCATTGCATCCGATGCGTGTCCCATCGGTGCATGAATAAAAGCACTAATTATTCTCTACAGAATGATTTGTTCAGATCAGGTTTGTTTGTAGAGATGTAGTAGAGTGCTGAAGGTGTGTGTGAAGGTAAATGAGGACACAGATTGTGTTGTAAAGCGCTCTGAGTATCTTGATTAGATAGAAAGGTACCGTCTAAGTACAGTCCATTTACTGTTGTTGTTTAAGCTTTAAATTCATGGCTGGGTGGTCGCACAGACCGCATGCCATCATGTTATGTTTAGGTTTATTGTCATATGCAGATCAACACAAGGTGAACATGAAATGCTCAAGACGAGAAGAACCGTCTTGACTCACCTAAAAACAATAAGAAACACCAAAGAATGCAACAAAAATACAAAAACAAGGCACCAAAAGTGAAAAAGAAATACATCTACAGCAACATGGTCCTGTTAGCAGCTTGGTACTGTTAGCAGTGCGGTTCTGTTAGTAGCATGGTCCTGTTAGCAGTGAGGTTCTCTTAGCAACATCTGTGTACCTATATTTTTATTTTATGTTTTCCTGTCCGCAGTGCTTGTTTGTTTCTATTGTACAGCACTTTGGTTGGCCTTGTTGCTGTCTTAAGGGCTCTATAAATAAATTTGTATGGTATGGTAACATGGTCCTGTTAGCAGCTTGGTATTGTTAACAGTGCAGTTCTGTTAGCAGTGAGGTTCATTAGCATGGTACTGTGTGGTTCTGTTAGCAGTGAGTTTTTTTTACCAGCATGGTACTGTTAGCTGTGTGGTTCTGTTAGCAGTGTGGTTCTGTTAGCAGTGAGGTTCTTTTACCAATATGGTAGTGTTAGCAGTGTGGTTCTGTTAGAAGTGCGGTTCTGTTAGCAGTGAGGTTTTTTTACTAGCACGGTACTGTTAGCAGCTTGGTACTGTTAGCAATAAGGTTCTTTTACTAACATGGTACTGTTAGCAGTGTGGTTCTGTTAGCAGTGAGGTTTTTTTTAGTAGCTTGGTACTGTTAGCAGTGTGGTTCTGTTAGCAGTGAGATTATTCTACCAACATGGTTCTGTTAGCAGCATAGTTCTATTAGCAGACTGGTTCTGCTGGCAGTAAGGTAACATGGTCCCATTAGCAGATTGGTACTGTTAGCAGTGTGATTCTGTTAGCAGTGAGGTTCTTTTACCTATATGGTAGTGTTAGCAGTGCGGTTTTGTTAGCGGTGAAGTTCTTTTACTAGCACGGTACTGTTAGCAGCTTGGTACTGTTAGCAGTACGGTTCTGTTAGCAATAAGGTTCTTTTACTAACATGGTAATGTTAGCAGTGTGATTCTGTTAGCGGTGAGGTTCTTTTACCAGCATGGTACTGTTAGCAGTGTGGTTCA